TTTATTTATTGGGAATTGGAAAACCAATTTTACATCGTAGATAAGTATGAAATGAAAATCTCTTTATCGACATTTACCTCGCCTCTTTGGTTTACTGGATAATTGAGATGTTTACTCTTGCGAAGTGAATTTACCAAACTCATTGAAAACTCATTGAGAAGAGCGTCGGTGGCTCAGTGGTTTAAGCACTTGACTTGTAATCTTGAGGTCTTGGGTTCGAATCCCGCCGCCATGTACCAATGTGATTTTCGATTTTTCGAATTTTCATATGTACATAATTTACCCGACGTTCTTACGGTGAAGGAAAACATCGTGATGCAACCTGCACATATCGGCGAAGAAATTCAAAGATATGTGTGAAGTCAACCAACCCGCACTTGGCCAGCGTGGTTGACTATGGCCTAGTCACTCTAACTTTAGGGTAGGCTCCGAGCCCCTCGGTGGGGTCATATAGTGAGCTGGTGATGATGATTGAGAAATCACACTTCACATGAAAATGTTCATTTCCCTTATTACCAAGTTTCGTTGGTTACACTGTCGTGGATTTTTTATTAATGGGACTCTGAGGTTCTTTTAACGTACTAAACTAAAGTATTAGCTTTCGCTCGCGACTCCATATGCGTGGAATTAAAAATGTAGCTTATGTGTTCTTCCAAAATATCCTCCACATATATACCAAATTTTATCGAGATCCGTTCAACCGTTTAAGTTACAAACTCTAACAAACATCCATCTATCTTAACTTTCGCATTTATAATACTAGTTAGATTATGTGCATTTGAAATCTAACGTAGGTACACTTCGTTAGATGGTTTATATGAACAATACATACAATTATAATATTGCCTAAAAAGTTGGTAAAACATTAGAACAAAATCTATTCTACTTTGATAAATGTTCGTCCATTAATTCCTTATAAAGTCGAATTTCATTAATTTAGAGCATCTACGTTAAAACGATCTGAAAGCTCCAAGCTCTATTGAATCCTTTTTCTTGTACCTTAAAAGGATCATTAATCATTATTTAGTTTGACGTTAAAAGCTCCCTACTTTACTTATTTAATATTTACCTATCTATTGTTATAATTCATATATTTGCACATGAATTTCAATAACAAATATATTAAACACTAGCTGTTGCCCGGGACTTCGTTCACGCAATATTAAGAGAAAAAAAGTAGCCTATAATATTCCCGACTGTCAGCTAGCCTTCAGCGAAAGTCTGGTCGAAATCGGTCCAGCCATTTCCTATATTATCCGGAACAAACGGCAATGCGGACAAACAGACAGATAAACAAACTTTTTTAATGCGATTTTCGTTACCAGCAACGCAAAAACATCATCTTCCCGAAATCATTCTTCTTTCGAACATTATCCTTTTGATATTACAAACAGAAACTCCAATTTTATATGTATACATTATAAACTTTATTATAAAAAACTTTAATATAAACTTTACTATATTATTTGGGTAAACATGTTGTACAATGTTTATTTTGGAACCGTTTCCCTTTTACATATTTACCTTAGCAAAGATAATTGGTAAATAAATCTAGTCAGATCTAAAACGCTACTTAGTTAGACGGATATAAAACCTTCATTAATATTAGATTTTTTTATTAAAATATAAATTACACAAAACTTAAAAAACGTTACAATGTACATCCGCTATAATACCTCTCAAAAGCTTCTTAACGATCGTAGTTCTTCAATTTTGCTCAGAAAACTTTGTCGAGTTGAGCAGTTTAAGTTTTTAATCCCTTTAAGTGGTTCTAGTATTTATCAGACGAGATTACTGCTTCAATTAAACTGTGTAATTAAGAGAAAAATTGGACATTACATATGTTAAGTCAGCTTTGAACAACAATTTGTTTTATATGTGTTAAACATTCTTACATTTTGTAGTGTTTTGACAAGTAAATTTATGGTATACCAGCTTTCGCCCGCGACTCCGTTCGGTTGGAATTAAAAAAATAAAAGTGAGTAGTCTATGTTATCTTCCATACTACACCTGCACCAAATTTCATCGAAATCCGTGGAGCCGTTTAGGCTACAAACTCTAACAAACATCCAAACATCAAATAGTATTAAGTTTTATTAAAATGTAGTCTTATAACTAAATTGAAATGTTACTTTAAGTTGAAAGTTAAGACAGAAGTGAATATTTCATGCGGCATTGACGGCAAATGATGTCCTTATCTTTAGACGGCTTAGCTTGAGTAACCGCGCCGTGTTAGCTCGGCCTATCTAAATTACAGGCTCGTCCGTCTCTCGGCGAAACTTAGTATAATCTTAGCCTCAGGAATTACCCATCTAAGCCCTTTGATATTAGTTTATTAGTCTCAGAATATGGCAAATTATAGTAAATCATTCACAGAACATATGACTAAGTTTCCACCGAAACTAATTTAACTACTAAACTATTGAAAATCTATAGAAATAAACTCTTGTTTTATTGGGTAAAACTTTCTGTACTAATATTATAAAGTGGAAAGATTTGTATTTTTGTATGTATTGAAATAACTCAAAAACTTTTTCACCGTTAGAACGGTATTTTATCTGTGACTAACTATATTTCAATTTCACACGGACGAAGTCGCAAGCAACAGCTAGTATTTTATAAAAAGCAACCCTCCCAAAAGCAAACAAAAAAAAAAACACAAATACGTGTTTGTGAAATCTATTTTTTTTAATAGTACATACTTAAACTCCAATTATGTTACTTATATAGTTCCTAACACGAATAAAAAAATCGAGATTAGTGGTAATGCAGATGTGGTCTTTTTTCGTTTCTCTTTTATTTCAATTAACGCTTAAGGGTATTCTCTTATCAATTTTCCGAAACTCTCGGCTAAAATATAAATAACTTTCTTACCTTCAGCAATAAAGAGGGGCCGGGCAATTTCGTTAAAATTCAGGTTGCGAACCATTCCGACAAAAAATGTCTTAACTGCACGCCGTCTAATACATGAAAACGTGCTTATTGCCCACCCGAGATAATAGTTTAAGTTTATTTTGGCTTTGTTATAAAAACTACGAATTATTATTGAATATGTTTTTTATTTTAGATGACGAATGTGCAAGAGAACAGTATGGTACCAGAGAAGTAACAATTATCAACACTATTTAAGTGTTTTCTTAAAAATATATAGACTTATCTATACTATTATAATAAAGCGTAAACACACACTTCTTTGTTGCCTAAGATGACAGCAATTACAGCATATTTTTGAATAATTTCTATTTTAATAAAAAGTCATACCCTTACGTCACGCTTTAGGCTATATATTTTCACGCCATTAAACTTAGGGTGTAAATATTTTGGATAAAAACTCTAATGTGGGAAAGACCATATGTTGCTGCCAATATCAAGAAAGTAAGATTGTCAAGGTTTGTCATGTCATGTCATTTTGACATTTGCTATTAATAATTTGACAAATGTGAACAATAAAATGAAGTTTTTATAATTATATGCGGATGAAGTCTCATGGGAACAGCTAGTAACTTATAAACGTAGTTTAAAAACAAAATACGGTTTCCTGAACACTGCAGCCTATAATAAAAGTTGAAACTGCATTAAAACTTAAAAACATATCTTGTTAAACGAGTAGAAAATTCAATAGAAAAGCTATTCGAAAGTGAAATTGAGTATACAAAAGTGGATGTAACTTAACTTTAAGTCATATTGAGCTTGAAAAGAGTGAAGTCAAGTGTCTACAATTACTTTTATGCGATGATCGAGAGAGGATCTTTAAAATTTATTTCAATACTAACTTTCGCCCGCGACTCCGTACGCGTGGAATTAAAAAAAAAAGAAAAGCAAGTAGCCTATGTGTTCTTCCAGATTATGTTCTACATCTATGCCAAATTTTATCCAGATCCGTTCAGCCGTTTAGGTTACAAACTCAAACATCCATCCATCTATATAAACTTTTGCATTTATAATATTAGTATGATAATACATACTCAAAACAATTTAAAGTAATAAATATATTTATAATAGAATTTGTGTATTAATTTTAGCAGTTTCCGTTACTAATATAAATGTGAAAGTTTAGATGGATGGATGTTTGTTAGAGTTTGTAGCCTAAACTACTCAACATATCTCGATGAAATTTGGCCTAAATGTAGAGGATAGTTCAAAAGAACACATAGGGTACTTACGTTTATTTTTTTTAATCCACGCGAATTCGCGGGCGAAAGCTACTAAATCATAAATGTATGGACACAATGTCATCGTAGCGGTACTTACGAGAACAAAGCTGACAAAACGCTATAATTCATTATGCTAACGAGACAGGCTGCCTTCGACGGTGATGGATTATAACATACCCTCGCAAACATGAACCGAACCATCTTGCATATAAAAAATTAATATGTTAATTTTGAACACATGATAGCGAATAAAGTCGATTTTGGTAAAAGAGAAATTTCTTGTGCGTTGCATATTCATACAATGAAAACAAAACTTAAAGAAATAAGAAAAAATAAAACCAAGTATCATAGACACGCCTTTATTTTTTTATTATTTTCAATTTAACATTCTATAGGTAGATAATAATGTAAATTTTGTGCGTAATACCGCCAGTCATCACAATAGAAACACGTGCAGAGAAACATATTGCTATCCTTTTCTTTCAAAGGGGATGCGCTCATTTAGCGAGAGATATGACTATATTGTGTGACAGTAAAACTTTGCTTTTAAAATTGATTGGTTTCCGATTTTCCTTCATCTTTGTGTTTTAAATTTACATGTCGTAATAATTGTTTCTTGTAATAAAACGATCGGTTGCAATTGCTACATTTATATGGTCGGTCTCCACTATGGACCATTCCATGTCGTTTTAATTGCATTGAAGTTGGGAAGCATTTATCACATTGATTACAAGTGTATGGTCTCTGTCCCGTATGTTTTCTCATATGTATTTTCAAATACGATTTCGCTTTGTATTTTATACCACAATCTTTGCAACTAAAAGGTCGCATCTCAGTATGCCAGAACTTATGCTTTTTCAGTGAAAGTTCAGATGCAAAATATTTAAAGCAAACATCGCATTGGAATTTTTTCTCTCGATTTACGTATCTCAAATGGTCCTTCAAGGACGCTGGCGATTTGAATGTTTTACCGCAATGTGTACACTTCACTGGTTCTTTTATATGCACTGTGTTAAAGTGTACCTTTAAAAAAGTTCAATGTATTAATATATTTAAGAGTTTCTTGTAAATACAATTGAGGAATATAAACTAAAGGCTGACTGATAAAGCGATTGTTAAAAAAAATCTACACGAAGAAAATTGTCTGTTACAAAAAAACTCTAAAAAAAATAAACAAATTTCAATTAAAAAATTATGTGTGCAGGAAACTGTCTTATTAAATGTTATTGTAATATTTTTATACAAATTATATCTTACCTTTAAATACGATGCTCGTTTAAAAGCCTTTCCGCATATATGGCAAATATTATCTCTTATATTTGCATGTTCTGCCATATGGGCCTCAATCATACTCCTAAATAGAAATCTGTAATACAAAACAACATTGCCTATGGTTAAAATATAAGATAAATATAACCCTAAAGCCCGCTACACATACTACGTTTTATCGGACAGAATCTGAATAGTCGGATCGTCCAGATAAATTGAAAACTGAAGACTGAACAATTCCCAGTTTTGTTACATTTATCTGAAGGATCAGATTGTTCAGATAAATGTGTCAGACAAAACTGAACCTATGTAGCGGACTTTAAATGAGCTATATCTTGTTGCAATCAGAAACATTGCAGACAAACTGCACATATCACCTTAATGTAGGTAAATCCCAAATATTTCTGGTAAAAGATTTTTAGCATATAACAGAATAATATTTCATTTATCTCACAATCTTCTTTAAAAACTAACAAAATACAATCAAAACGGCCGTCATGGATATTGACGCCACGGTTTACCTAACTTTGGCGTTGAAATAAAACTAGATATACACATATACGTACTTATTCCCACAAAGGTCGCAGATATATTTGCCTTCTTTATGAAGTCTCTCATGATTTCTCCACGCTGTGTACGATCGGAAAGTTTTCTGACAAACAGAACAAAGTCCGCCATCTTTGTTTAAATGCACCGATCTGTAGTGGAACTGCTGAACCTTGATATTTGATGCACTTTTATTGCAAATATGGCAGTTTTTATTTAGTGGTTTTGATAAAAACACGTACGGTTGATGAACTGATCTGGAAATTTTACAGTGGTAGAGCCCGCTTTAACATCTACGCACGAATGGGCCAGCGTCCGGTGTAATACCACGACCACACAGAAAACAGGCGTGAAGTGAAAGCAATTCCGCGTTTCGTCTGATGAGTGTGGTGCCGGAGGCCTAATTTTAGTAGCTTTTCCTTTGCACCCTTTTCTTAAGAGGAAAGGATGGCAAGGAAAAATGGATTTGGCGCTAGAGGAAACGCATGGGAACGGGAAATGTTCTCTTTCTGTGCGTCTCCTCCTACGTCAATTAATGGTCTATAGGGTATAGTCGCTTGCCATTTCGGTGCTTTCGGGTGACCGCTTGCTCGTTTGGCACCAGGTATTATAATAAATAAACTTTTTAATAAAAAAACAAAACCGACTTCCAAACAAAATACACGAAAAACAAAACAAAATGCACTAAAAACAAAACAAAA